GGTTATTATTGTAGACGGGGTGAGCCGGAAAACGGTACCACACGGTATCCCGCTCAAGACTTACACGCGTGCGAAAAAAATTTTTGTTCGTACATAAATTCCGATGTTTATGGTATATCGAGTGGGGGGCAAATACTATTCGCTGACACCTCTATCGCGCACGTGTGCACGCCGGTGTTCGCGCACGCTCCCGTAAGAAGGCCAACAAATATTTCGTCGGCTTTATATACGCGACCTTTTACCGGAAAACCGCGAAGGCAGAACATGTTCCGTTTTTCCCTTGCCCGTCCCCTCTTACCACCGTCTCTTCTTTTTCGCTCCAGTATCCAGCAGGCGGACCGGCAGGTCCGCATAATATCTCCATTTGCCGACGAGAACGACGGTGTGCGGTACCGGACGCGTGTTTATTTACGAGACGGGGGTCGCAGTTAAATCGTAGACAGCAAGGCAGATTTGCCGCGCAGTCGACAACAGCATGCTCCTTTCCCCGCGCCAGGACCAGGAACTCCTTAGAATTGAGACAGGAGAAGGAAGAGAACGCGCGGGGCTGGTAATGTCCTGGTGTCCACCATCGGTGTCGGAGAGTCGCTCTATAATCTTGCAGATGTTCCCATCGGGAACGGGACATTCCTGGCGCCGACATTCTCGTCGGAGAATCGCGGTGTCGATCCGGCGAGCGGGATCGTCAAGTTCGCTGCACGACAAATGTCGCAAGGCCGTTCGTCGACTTGTCCACTCCGAGCAATATCGAGAGATGTCTGTCTCGGGGAGCGACCGGAACACAAACTGAAATCAACTTTGCGCAGTCCAAAATTTGTTTTTAATTTTTCATTAATATTATTTTGTTGTTATTAATACATACTATAGTATCTCTCTCTTTTATGGCGTATTTTTTTTTATTTTGGAATTAGAATTAAAAATTTGACGTTATGATATAATTTATTTACGAATAATTTTTGAAATTGCAAGATGTAATTTTAATTTAATTTCTGTATAATATATATCTGAATCAATTTAAATATATTTAAATATATCAGAATCTCTTTAAATATAAGAATTTTCAACTTGATGTTATAAATTCGATCTATGCATTGTGTCAGACAGTAGGTATATTTTAACGGTACGACGGAAGGAGCGACATACTTTTCGATCTAATTCCTACATATTTCCCACGTGTTGAATTAGTGATTTGTACTGTCGTAACTTTGACGGTAGTGTTAAATTATAGGGTCAACGATTACCGTTAGATACGATGTTCGCGACAAATTCGTTCCGCCATTTAGTCGCCATTTAGACGACTCCATCAAACTCGAGTGTCGTGATTTTTATCAATGATAACTTTATATGTCAAGCGTGCGATCCCTGTATATATCCGAATGATACTAAACTGTCGGCAGATATTTTAATCGAAATATTGAGAATTAAAACAGTAATCATCATACGTTATTACGGGAAGATTGTGACATCGGTAAAAGTTTGATATTTTCATCGATTGCTCGATCGCGGTTTTCCCCCAAGGTCTTGACAGCCGAAGCTGAATACGACACGGGAGCAAGGTGCAATGACATGTTGCGAGCATATCGAGAGGGAAGATCGGGGGGGAAAAGAAGAAACGATCTTGTCGTGCGGCGGTGGACGAGGGAGAAAGTGTAACCGATCCCGCGAGAGCTCGAAATCGAAAGTAATTTCCTCAGTCTCGCTCTTTCTCTACCTCCTTTCTCCTTTCTACGGGAGCCCACGATCATTCTTTCTCCCTGACCGAGATTCAGGTCAAGTTCACTGTCTGTGCTCTCGACAGCGTGTCTCTTTCTCTCTTTCCCATTTCACTTTCTCGTCGTCACCCTGCTCTGGGCCCGTCCTCTCTCTCTCTCTCTTCCTCTCACGCTCTCTCTTTCGTGGCATACCGCTCAATCTCCGCTCTCTCTTATGCAAGAGAGCATTACACCACCGACGGTAATTTCATTCGTGACTGCCGTTCTACGACGGTCCCGGCGAGTTATTATGTCAGTGTCAATGGCACCGATATCTCAGAGTGAGAGAAAGACCACGAGCAGTTTTATCGTGCGCGCGAGGTTCGCTGAACCGAATTCCCTTCCTCTCAGTCATCCGAGATGAGCCAAGGTGAGCCAAAGTGGATACATCGTCTTGGGTATCTCTCTTGAGCACCTCGCTCGATGTTTTACGGCTGCTCTCCTCTACTCGATGAACTTCTCTCCGTCGTAAATATGAACGATGCACAGTACGAATGTACGTATGGCCGGCAGGCAGGAGGGTGAACGGTATCGGTTAACTTCCTGGACATCGCGAAGCTTTATCGGCAACCGCTGACAATTAATAATCTGGTCGTTGGGAGTATTTTTGTGCGTTTTTTTTTTCTTTGAGGGAGAACACGGACGAGATCTTGCGAGATATAATCAAATGAATTGTGTACGAAAGAGCGCCTCTGTATCAAGTCTGAGAATAGCTTTCCTTAAAGAGAGAAGGACGCGATGGTATCTCGCATGCCGTTAGAATAACTTATAGCGTATTAATGTGTCAGTCTTAATCTATAATATGTAATAGATGGACCATCGGTCCGCAATTAGATAGTTGCGTGTTGTAAAACATTTTATTACACACGTTTTTTGATCAATCTCGATGAGATCATCTTTAAAACGATCTTTTCTTTCTTTCTTTCGTAGGACACGACTGCGGAATTTTACGGAATCCGGCCTTCAGCCGGTCGATTAACGACGTGGATGCGGAAAGAAGAGTTCCTAACAACGTGAGCTAACGTTATATTTCGCCGCGACACATACGGAGGTATCCCATAATACGAAAATCGATAAAAAAACAAAAACATTTTGTCCGATGACGCGGATCAGTGGAGGCAGAGATCCACAGTTGAAGGTTTTGCCGGAAGAATTTTTTTTTTCTCGAGACGATCGGTGAGAACTGACTTTTGATTCGTGTGTACTCGTCAATGCAAAAATTCGATAGTGAGTCAGCGGATTGAATTTTCAATGGCATTGATCAACGCTTGCGCTCAATTCCCGAATAAGCCTCAAGATAATTCCATCGTGCTTCCCGGTAATAATCGAGCCTAATCAAAAGAGAAGAATTGATGCAACGCTTTTCGCATGAAATTCAATCTCTTGGCACAAAAATCGCAGAAAATTAATTATTTTATCGCATCATTCGGATCCGTTTCAATAATTTCTCTCTTTCTGTTTCGTTTTTCGAGATCTCGGAGAAACCAGAGCGTCGAGCAACGGATACGCTCGCATCGACGCGCTACGCGCGAATGCGCCGACCGAGGACGGGCGCAGCCCGCTGTTCCTGCGCTTATGCGCACTCGCATTTGCGCATCGTTGGTCCAACGGTGGCGGCGACCGATCCGGTGCTCCTCGTCGGTTCTGCTCCTCTCGACCGGCTATCATAGTCGAACGGTCCACGAACCGTTCACCGATGACACTCAACACGTCTAGGACAATCCGCGAGCGAGCAAGTAGCATCCGCGAGTCGGATAGCGAGAATGCCGCGAGACAGCGAGACAAAAAGGAAATCTTTCCATTTCGCGCCGCTACCTGGGATGTTACACGCGTTAGTCCTGCGGACGTGCCGTTGGTGGTCGAACATTGAGAAAAAGGGGCAGAGAGGGGACGAAAAAGAGAAGGACGAGAAGTGTGCGGAACGGGTGAAGAGGAGAGAGAGACGGAGAGGGAGAAAGAACTAACGAGAGGGGAAGAGGGGAAACGATATAGAGAAGGCGCGCGCGTGAGAGGGAACGAGAGTGGAAGAAAAAGAGAGAATGCTCCGGTGTGTAGCCTGCGGGTACACATCGCCTCGCGTTGCTCCCCCGCCAATCCGTTCGTACGGCGTGGGGCGAGTTTAAGGTAGGGGGCCGCACGACGCGCACGGCGGTGGTGCGTTGCGGCGGCGGCGGCGGCGGCGGCGGCGGTGGCGGTGGCGGCGGCGGCGCGGCTGCCAAGGTATTTAAGGTACCGTGAACCGGCGGCGCACGAGTAGTTCACTTCTGTTCGGTGTGGTGTTGCGGTGATTTTGAGGGGCCAGCTAAAGAGAGCAAGAAAGGGAGAGAGAGACAGAGAGAGAGAGAGAGAGAGAGAGAGTAAGCGCTCGCGCACACACGCTCGTCGGAGGGTGGCGAGAGAAGAGCAGCCCCTCGTTTTCCCTTTGAAAGAGACGATCGCGGCTCCGGGGAGCAAGCACGTATATAAGTAGTAACGTTAATCTTACGGTAGATTCACGTCGGTGCAAAGTAACTAACTAATCGTCGATCGTGCGTCGAGAGAGAGGACCACGTCGTCGCATCGTCGAGCTGTCAGGGTTGTCCGTCGTCGACGACCGTGCTGGATAGGTAAGTGATCGTGACAAGTAACTTGGTGCCGGTCCTCCTTCCCTCGGCTCGATCGCCGAGGGTGAACAAGTGATAAAGCGGGTTGATCGCGCCTCCTTCGGTGACATCGAGTGATCAAGATCAGTGATTCGGTTGCACGCGGTTGGATGATAATACCTCTTAATCGTTGTCGACGTCGTCGTCATGGATTTTATGGACTGTGATGATGTGCGCCGTCAAGGAAATGTCCCGATTCCAAAGTGATCCGGAGATGTGAAAGGGGAGATTTATAGAGAGGACAGGTGGCGATAAGGGCCTCGATCGGTCCCAGTTGTTTTTGTTATAAATTGATAGTATTTTTAGTAAAATTAATAAATTTATAAGTTGTATTCAAAGATTTACTTTATTTAGAGCAATAAAAGCATGATTTAGGCATTTTCTATGTCCTTCGGGAACTATGCTTAAAATATTTTAATGGCTGATATTAATATAAAAAAGATATTTTTATATTTCCTAAGTCTCCACACATATTCAAAACTTTCATATTTATTAATTGTAAGATATAGATAGTTATTGATTATCAAACTAATTAGTTAACTGATACCTAAGGTGGCATATATTAACAGAAGTGATCAAACAGTTCAATTAATTATCTATGTATATTTTAACGAATAGAAGATATGTATGTTTTGTGTGAAGTTCTGCATTTAGTCATAGACACGCTGCGCGGTGGCGGTGCGGAGAACGTCTTGGTAGCGTTCATCTTCGTGCTTGTCCGTCGTAGCTGGATGCTCGTGAGGTCCTGGATGCTGATCGTGGCTAAGGGTTGCGGGGTCTTGAAGCTTTCGGTCTCGTTGCCGACACTGGCGGAATTCGGGCCTTGATTCGCACTTCGTGCTCTCTGCTGCAAAGGAGACAACGGTGGTGGCGGGGGACCCGTAGGAGACCCCTTGACCTCCTCGCTGCTCCTTCGCGTTTCTTCCTCCTCTTCCGCCTCCTCCTCCTCACGCGGCTCCGTATTCCGACTTTGAATGTCCAAGTTGTCCACTGACCTGCGAGCGCGATTTTCGCATTGTCATGCGAGTAGAAAATTTCAAAATAACGCTGCTCGAAAATATAAATCCGTTTTCATTTGGATAAGATAAATTCAAGAGAAAAACTTTAAAATTTGAATTTATTTTACTTGATGGTATTATTATACGATATATATTAATATAGATAGACTTTAGATATATTAATATTATAGATTTCGAAGAAAATATTGCTTTGGTTTTAATAAGCAAAAAATAATTCCTCTGAGAAAGAACATTAATTATAACTCATGTTCTTGTACGTATCATCTTATATGTATCATCAGAAAGTTAAACACGCACGCGAGTTTACATTTTTATTCTAGCTGAAAAAACTTTAATTAATGGCACCTCTCAGCCGTAAAATAAAATTTGTTTTTTAAATACACGAAAATTGAATTAATAAATCATAACTACAAGTACTAACGATAAATAACGATATTAGATTTTTCTCAATGCTATGAATGAAGCACTGAAACTGCTTGAGTCAAAGATTTAAAAATCACCATTTTAAGAGCAGCACAAATCGAAATGGCTAATATTATAATTACATTGCTTTTCGTTTATTTGAATCACACATAAAACAATGTTGTATAAACATCCTCTAAAAGTACACTGTACGTTGAATATTCAAATCGCGATTTTAAGAGAAATCGACTTAATTATTAAAACAACAAGATGTAATCTTGGCGGTTTCTCGGAGCAACTTGCACGCAGAAGACTACGAAACAAGCGGAAGTAAACACCGTTGTATATGACAGGAAAGATCACTGACCTCGCCTTCGACAGACTGTTCTTAGACGTCGTCTTGCAGATACTTTTGAGGTACTCGGACGGTTTCAGCAGGGTGTTAGAGTCCGCGTTGGCGAACTTGGGCGGTATGAACGGCAATACCATGTGCCTGTTTACCAGGTGGGACGCCTGGTTCGCTTTAATTTCGTCCGCATCCACCGGCGCACTGGCGGGAGGCGGCACTTCCGGCTGCTGCTGATGCTCGCCACAGGATGATACGTCGGACTTGTTGGTCGCTGTTCCGAGACCGGCGATATTAGAGAAAGAGAGACAGACGCGGAAGAGAGATAGAGACAGAGCGATAGGGTGTAAGAGGTAAAGGAGGTAGACAGGTAAGCTAAAGGAGAGGGGCAGAGTGGGTCCTCGTTATATCCTCTAGCATTGGATGAGATGGTCGTTACCGACGCGGGCAAGTGAAATCTAGGTAAGTATATTATATGCCCGATGAGCGCCATGGTCTAGTAAGTGAGCCGACTATCTCGGCGCTAAAGCGTGATCCGCTAACAGTTTAATTAATCGGCGAAGTACGGGGGCGCAGCGCGATCCCAAATCGAGATCGACGGGACGGGGCCCCGCCAGCACCTCTCGCGTCCAAATCGCGAGCCGGTCTAATTAGACCCGCAGATAAACATCGGGCGAATTAATTCTCGCCCGAATCTAACTGTAATCGCTGCTTATTCGTAGTCGATTCTCGTTAATTGCTCGCTCGATGACGTCACGATGAATGCATCGAAGCGTGTCGGGAGGAACGCGCCGAAAATGTAAGCGTAATTCGCGCGAGTCAACACGGCCGGCCGATCATCGGGTGATTAACGCGGTGATAAAAACACGGTAATGCAACGGAGATTATAAATTTTTATATAACGCACGCGCGGTTTCCTAGTAGCCCGATAGATGCTTCGATGACTTCGGAGAGTCGGTCTTCTCTCTCTGATAAAAATTAATTAATTAGCGAGGATTATTAAATTTCCGGAGATGTTATTATCGATGACAAACTCTAAACTTGATAATGTATTCTGCGAATAGCGTTATTAAAACGAATCGATTCATTGAGTAAAACCTGTCGAGGAAGTGATTTGAGTACAGTTGCCTTCGACCGGTAGTCATTAAATGTCGATTGGCAATAAAACCGTTCATGCGTGACGTGATTTCTCGAGATGAGCTTTCGGCAGGAACAATATTCTTTTCGCTTAATACGAGAATCCGTTCGCGATTATTGCGAATAAGGTGAAACTACAGTTGATGCGTTTTTTTAATCGCCTCGGAATTATTTTAAAAAAATTCTTCATAACCGTTAGTTTTTAAATTATCGATAAATACGATTGCATTTATAAATATATTCCGGAAATAACGCGTTTTCTTTCGGTCGCAAATCTTTCATTAGGCAAAACGTTTGACTCGAATCGAATGCGTTTTTTTTTTTGCAATAAACAGGCGCGGAAATGTCAAGCTATTAATGTGTTTAAAATCAAGCTGCAACTTTCACGCAGCATTTGTGCAAGGGAGCGAAAGGACTGTAGGCTGTAGAGAAACTAAAGTACGATTCCTTACCGGAGGACTCGCTCCTTCCATCCTGGCTGCTTCCCCGCGCGTCTTTTTTGTCAGTGTTTATATCTATATTCGGTTTGGCGTTTACTAGAACGACCACCACATCATCATCTGGCGGCGGTGGCGGCGGCGGTGGCGGTGGCGGCGGCGGCGCGGCTGCCAAGGTATTTAAGGTACCGTGAACCGGCGGCGCACGAGTAGTTCACTTCTGTTCGGTGTGGTGTTGCGGTGATTTTGAGGGGCCAGCTAAAGAGAGCAAGAAAGGGAGAGAGAGACAGAGAGAGAGAGAGAGAGAGAGAGAGTAAGCGCTCGCGCACACACGCTCGTCGGAGGGTGGCGAGAGAAGAGCAGCCCCTCGTTTTCCCTTTGAAAGAGACGATCGCGGCTCCGGGGAGCAAGCACGTATATAAGTAGTAACGTTAATCTTACGGTAGATTCACGTCGGTGCAAAGTAACTAACTAATCGTCGATCGTGCGTCGAGAGAGAGGACCACGTCGTCGCATCGTCGAGCTGTCAGGGTTGTCCGTCGTCGACGACCGTGCTGGATAGGTAAGTGATCGTGACAAGTAACTTGGTGCCGGTCCTCCTTCCCTCGGCTCGATCGCCGAGGGTGAACAAGTGATAAAGCGGGTTGATCGCGCCTCCTTCGGTGACATCGAGTGATCAAGATCAGTGATTCGGTTGCACGCGGTTGGATGATAATACCTCTTAATCGTTGTCGACGTCGTCGTCATGGATTTTATGGACTGTGATGATGTGCGCCGTCAAGGAAATGTCCCGATTCCAAAGTGATCCGGAGATGTGAAAGGGGAGATTTATAGAGAGGACAGGTGGCGATAAGGGCCTCGATCGGTCCCAGTTGTTTTTGTTATAAATTGATAGTATTTTTAGTAAAATTAATAAATTTATAAGTTGTATTCAAAGATTTACTTTATTTAGAGCAATAAAAGCATGATTTAGGCATTTTCTATGTCCTTCGGGAACTATGCTTAAAATATTTTAATGGCTGATATTAATATAAAAAAGATATTTTTATATTTCCTAAGTCTCCACACATATTCAAAACTTTCATATTTATTAATTGTAAGATATAGATAGTTATTGATTATCAAACTAATTAGTTAACTGATACCTAAGGTGGCATATATTAACAGAAGTGATCAAACAGTTCAATTAATTATCTATGTATATTTTAACGAATAGAAGATATGTATGTTTTGTGTGGAGTTCTGCACACACACACACACACACACACACACATTTCTTTAGAAAATACAAAAATATTTTTTTTTAATTTTAATCCATTAAGAAATTTCAAGTATAGTTATTAAAGGACACAGAAAATGCCTAAATGCTTTCTGTTACTGTAAATAAAATAAATATTTTAATATACTATACAGTTATTAATATTACTAGTAATACTATTAATTTATAAAACAACTGGAACCGATTGAGACTTATCGCCACCCATCTTTTGCGTGGAAATTTGTACATTTCTCTTATTGTTTCGAAAAGGATAATTAGTGAAAGTAATTCTTTTCTCTGCACAGAGAAAAATTTTTTATACTCTGTGTTGCTCTGGTGACAAAATTCCATTTGTGTGACTCGTTTACTTTAGAGGATACGTAGAATTTTTTTCGACATATTAAAAGAAAATATTATATCTTGCTAGCAAATGTTTAATTATTTAGAAAATATTTGTTAATAAAAAATAACTTTATTATATCTTCTTCTGTTGTATATGTAAGATTAAAATGATAATCGATCCTCTGCTGGATGTCACTCACAGTACGATTATCTCATTAATACGTAATATCAGCAAAGAACGATCGAGCAATTAATTCGTATAAATTGATTCGCGTATGTCGATTGATATGACTAACAATAAGAAAAGATTAAAGGAGAAGGAACAATTGTAGGATATTAATCTTCTTCTCTCGCGTGAACTGAGAGCCGAATCTAAGAGGACCGGCCGATGGTGCCTAAATAATTCAAAGCGACGTATTATAGGTATGCGTTGAGAAGGATAGCCAGACGAACACCTCGTACAATTAAGAGACAGTGTCTGAATACCGAGCCAAACACCGTCGATGCGTGAATACCAAGAAGGCCTCCGTTCCAATCCGGAGGATACGCAGGACCTTGAAAATTTGCGTATGCGGAAGATGATGTGATATAAAATGACGAAATTTTTGACATTATTATAATAGTTGATAAATCATGCTGCGCAAAATATTTATTCGTTTTTGTAAGATTATTCGAGACTTTTTAAGCGGAACGTAAGAGATTGCGCGAGATGATATTGTCGCGAAATTTTTTTCCGAAACGGGGAAAGAATTTGTCTTGCATGATCTATGGTCGAAAAAGTATATCAATTTTTCCGAACGACGATCGGGGAGGAAGGGAAAATTTAAAAACAGGCCGCGCGATCCTACATAATGAGTCATAGAAATACCGGGTATAGGAATAATGGGCCGCGGGCCCCCTTGCGAGAGACGAAAAATGTAAACTAGAGGAATCTATGGAGGCCTCCTTTGTATATCGAAGTGGACTGCCCTGGCGTTCTTTCCGACGATGAGAGAGCTAGAGAGACGCGCGTGAATAAACGGGACATTCCTGCGGCGGATCGAATTCTCCTCCCAATCTCGTGGAAACCATAGTGGCGACGACGATGACGACGACGACGACGATCATCTGAAATTCTGCATGACGTGGCGCCTCGTTCCAACACGTGCAACCGCTGTTACATTCGCGGTCGAACGTTACTATTTTCCTGACGGACGCGATCTCGTCGCAGACGCGAGGCAATCTTGTTCCTTGCAAAAAAGAGCGGACGCGAATCAGCGTCACGGTCGACGTGCGTCCGATAGCTCTCGCGACTGTAACGATCGAACGGGCGTGATATATTAAATCGCCTTTCAACGGAAACGCTAGATTTCCAATGAACAGTTAACTCTCCGCATATCGATAATAACGCTGTGATCCTCGCAGCTCAGGTGCGATGCTGCATAATGATTCGCGCGATGCTTATTGCGTCTTACATTATTCTCACCGCTACCGTAATTGTATCGAAGGAAACGTTTCTCTCACCATTTTAATTATTATTTCAACTTTTATTTTTACTTGAGAGATTCAATCATTTTTAATTTCTGTTTAACATTGACAATTAAGAGGAGAAAGATGCGAAAAGAAATTTTCTGAAATTTTCCGTGAGAAAAAAAACGGATTCCGAGAGATCCGTGAATAAAGTAAAATACCGGAAAAAACAACCGCCAACAATGTACTCATCATTGAACGTTAATTAGCAAGACCAACTTGCGTCTGCAGCTACGCTTGCGCGCTTGTTAGGCAGAACGACGAAAATGAAACGTGGTAATGGAGTGTAAATAAGAAACGGCGGTAGACACGCAATCTCTAGAAAGGGCAATAACCGGAAAGAGGGAATACGAAGTTTGTGTCGGTCCAACGTAAACGTGAGAGGGAATTCTTAAGCCGCTAGATGATTATTTTGCTATCAACCTGGTCGGAGAGCGCTTTGTCGCGCAACTTCTCGAGTACGACACATTCGCTACTTCCTTAATGCATTGGTACTGTTATCCGCATCTCCGCTGCGCTTTACCCGTTTTGATTTGCTGGTGTATGTTCTTTTTCTCCATGAAGAGAGAAATCTTTTACATTTTTAATATTTCATTATTTACGCAACTTTGACGGTTGTGAACTTTGTCATTTTGATGATTCATCTTTTTTAATCAATTTTTCCTTTTGTTTTTTACATCTAAATTATACTTACGATAATATATATGCGATATTCTTCATCAAATGGATAAAAATAAATCAAGCAAAATTAATCGCTCAAAATATCAAAGTGCCAATAGATTATCGTTAAATGATCCATGAAACATACGTGTCCTCGTCCGTTTTAGGCCCACGCTTGACCGAGCGCTCGAATCGCACGGATATTCGCAAAACGGTAAAAACGAACGAGACGAACAGTGTGTGTGCGTGTACGTGTGTGTCGAACGAGGTAGTATGTATTCGTCACGAGCGCACACACACGCTACAATAAGTTTCAAAAGGACGAGGCGCGTGTCGGACCGTTGCCGGACTTTGAATGACGACGGCTCTCAAAGCGATCGATCGATGTTGAGCCGATAATCTTCCCGATATAGAGCGTTACGGATAAAAAAACCAAGCAAGGTAGACGCTCCGACGACCGTCGGCCTCTGGTTATAAAAGGACAGCGCGTTACAAACAACGTGTATAAAAATACCGAGCCGATCGACTTTACGTTATTGTAGCAAAATAAACTGGCGGATACTTCGATCGCTCGCGACAAGGAATCCGTGGCTTTCGCTGAATTTAGCGATACTTTGACGAATCGATTCGAGTACGTTGACCCCCGTTTTCTGAAATGAGATGAGATGAGATGAGGAGTAGGAACGTGCAAAAATACCACTTGGATATTTGATTTCGTAAAATGCATTCGATCTGCTGCGCCGATGAATAAATCAAGTTTGACGTTCGGTCGTGGAATATGAATGATGAATTTATCGGTTTTCTCTGTCTGTTACTTCGCGCGACGGGATGTGACCGACGCGATGCTCCAGACACGCAAGAATTTGAGCTCATCACGTATGAGAGCCGCGCTCTATCGATTATCTCGCGGTAGAAATTTCCATCTCCCGTCGCTGTTAAATATTATTACGCGAAACAATCTTTCTCTTCGACTGTACTCTCCTCCCGTCACTTCATTTCGTTCATCGAAAGAACCCCTCGATGTCCGAACGGTTCTCGTCTCGAAATCGAAATATCGCGAATGTGCCTGTCCGCTCGAGTGGTTTTTATTCCGCGCGCGTTGGACCGTTCCCCGATATCGAATGCGGTTTATGAGTGCCGTCCGGTAACCAGTCGTGTACTCGATAAAAATCGGCTACTCGGCCTCCGCGAGATCGGAGGGAATTTCAATGCGCGCACGAATCGTCCCCACGCTACCTCGTCCCACGTATGGTGTACGACCGCACGAACGGTTTTCAGAACGCTAATATAGGCGCGGTTCCGTTTCCCCGTTCGTTCATTGCCATCGGAACATTTTTGTTTTATCTTTCACGATTTTACAAGAACTGGTGTACAATCACAATTAATATGGAATTAATGTCAAATTTAATAAAGTGGATGAAACACGATTATCATGATAAAATATATGAGGAAATTGAAGAAAATTATTACACGATAAGAAATTATAATAGAGAAATATTATTTTCTCATATATACTCATTATACTTGTGAAATTGTAAAAGATAAAACAATTTTTTCAAAAAAGACAAGTTTTTTAAAAATACACATAGTTTATAAAAATTAGTTTGCGATAAGCTAATAAAAATAACGATAATATAATTCGGAAATAAAGTACAAGCAAGATTTAAAGAAGAATGGTTTTATTTTTTTACAGACACAAAATATGTTGAATAATTAAATTAAAAATATTTTAAGTATATTATATTTTTCATATATAATATTGATAAAATATCATTTTTCGAAGAAAGAAGCTGCATATATATAAAGCATAAAGACTGTTGTTATTCCAAGATTAATTTGCAGTCGAATTTGATTAGACGATCGACATTTAAAATATTTTAGGAACGACTGTGTAGAGAGAGAGAGAGAGAGAGAGACAAAAACAAAGGTAATCCAGTTTACTTCGTGGTTTAGTGAACCTGCACCGTTGGCCTAGTTCCGTTAATAATGTAGGAATACTTGACGGCCGGTGTGTTGGTCGGCCGTCAGAATTGTCACCGGGAACCGGTCGGTGACCTGTCTGTCTCTTTCCTTTGCGACACGCGTCTCTTCGTTCTGTCTTTCGCGCTGTGTATTCTCTCTCTCTTTCTCTCTTTCTCTTCGTGAATCAACGGGACAAGTCGTCGCAACTTGCCGACGATTTATCCGCCAAATAATTCGTAACGTCGCGTCGACCCGGTGGCGATAAATTATAGGCGACAACACGAGATAGACAGCGCGGGTATACTTGCTACCGAGTATACTTGCTAACAAATGTCATGTAATACCGTGAGACATAGACCGTTATACTAGGTGGATCGTCATAGTAGCAGTTTGCTAGCAAACTAGCCGCTGGTGTGTCCGCTCATATCGCTCTCTCACGAATGGGAGAGGAGGAGCGTTTAATGTCTGCCCGATATCGAGAATTAATCTCCATTGGTAATCGGGTTCTTGTGTGTAACGGTAAATTTTCTGTCCCGACGATCAGCCGCGCTTTCAGTTCGTTAACGTCGTGCGGTTAGTAATTATAGCTGGCTAATTCGTCCGTGTGGCACGATCGTATTATCGCTAACGTTAACGATAATGCACGATTATACGCGAAAAAAAGGGACAGAGATTTGTTGGAAAATAGAGCGTGACCGTGACGCACGGGAAATTCCCGGCAGCGCCGTTTATTCGTAAACGCTCGTGGTCCTCCACCTACCCGCAACTTCCTACGATTGTTGTCGGAATATTCGCACGATTATCTTTTCCGCGGTAACCGAGAGAGATACTCCGGAGAGCGGACTAATCGAAGATGATGTAACGCGTAGTCACGTTCTATTTTCTTCCCTAACAATTCGTAAATTGAAAATGTGAGATTCTTTGTATAAATTGACTTTCAGAGCAAATAATGGGAATAACATTTGTCGTTTAATTTGATTAAAAAAGTGTTACAAATACAATCGTCTTTTTTGATATTTTTAAAGAAAATTTTGAATTTGTTAAAATTCTCCGGCGAGATGGAATATATCGCTCATCTTTCTTCCTCCTGTCGTTTATCATTATTGACATGTCTCATGAAAACGTCGCAACGATCCCGCATTCGAAGTTCATCGGAACCATTTGTCTTCGATGAAGAG